ATCTTCTTTGTTAAAGCACACGGACACGTGTTCAGATAACTGGCATTTTGATTAAAATTAATTTTTAAAATTTGATCATGTATATGTTGTTTTTTCCATTTTTTCCCATTCCCGTCCATCATTCCTGATTTTCTAACAGTGATACCCTATTTTCAAAAATTCCTTTTCCAAAAATTAGGTTTTACCGATTCCTAAGAGAATCCCATGGGAACCATGGGATTCCTGCAATTTCCGTTTCCATGCCCACCTCTAGTTTGCAGTTGATTCAATTGTTTCAATCATGAAAAAACCAAAAAAAATTAATAGTGAAAATAAAAAAGTGTAAACGTATGAGCATACATCGTTCAGTTGTTCTAGCAGGCTGTTAGTTAACTGCAAGTCAAATTTTCCAAGCCAGTCACTGGCTGTTACAGATCCTGAAATTTTTTTGTTTGCGTTTTCAATTAAATTTTCAGAATTCCTATAATTTCAACACAAACTATAAAATATCATTTGCAGCTTATGATAGTTTCTTTGGTTATGGTAAAAAAAATTTGATATTTAAACATTCAGCGTACCTACTATAAGCTTTGATGAAAATAATTAAAATTGTTTGAATTTAAAATCACTGCAATTGAAAAATTATGTAAAAAAAAACAGTTGAAAAAACCAGATCTAGCGGATAGCAAGATGGATATGTTAGCGAACTGCTTAGCAAGTTGATCGAGACGGTCTGGCAGCTGACTCATGCGGCACCGACAGTCCTCCGTCAGACTCTTCTCCCCGTTGTCATTCGAGCAATCCAGCCGCTGTCTTTGTGATGAAAGTGATAAAAACGTAATGAGAACGTGTTTCAAAGTTGAAATTTTATCGGAGGCATCGTTGGACGACTTGAGGTACCAATCGATGGATTCGTCTGTCAGTCTGGTGTTCAGCTGATTGGCATCGTTGTACTTTCCGCCTTCGTCCGTGTTCAAGTCTCTGTAGTAGGCAACACTTATGTATGCCGATTGTAAACTATCCAATAAATAGACTTCTTTTGCATTTTCTAACTTAACGATTGTCGTGTTAACGCTGAGCATGAGTTGGTTGCCGATGTTTCTCACGTCCTCTGCGGCTAAGTTTATGAACGCTTCAATTGCTTTTTCAACATGATCGAGAGTTGATGTTTCTTGGAAGAGCAGCATGTAATAGATGAAATCTCGAAACTGTGTCAAACCAGTCAGACTTTCCTCAAAGAGCTGAATCAAACTTTTCATGTTGATCTCGTCAACTCGGTGCTTTAGTTCAAGAGCGTTCAAATATTTCCTCTCCACGTCCAAACTTTTGCCATTGAGCAATTCGTTCAAACCAAGTGCCGATAATTTACTCTGGCTCATTTGCATGGTGTAGGAAGTTGTATCGCACGGGATGGGACACTGGTCTGCTGAACTTTTGCTCACTGTATTGAGAATGAGTTTAACATCTTTAGATTGTAACTGAATTAACCTTAAATGTTCTTTAAACTTTAAACAATTTTTTAAATGTTGTATTAAAGATAAATTAAAATTGCAAATTGGCAGAGAATATAAAGTGTTACGACTAACCAGTATTGTTTAAACAATACAGGGTTTCTTTAAGCGAACACATTCTTTGATATCCTGAAATTTTATTTTCAGATACTCAACAAACACATTGTAAAGTATTTTATTTTTTTGCCAAATAAGCAAACATAACTATGGCCTCGTAATGTTAGTTACATGGAGACAGCACGGAAACGAACCCGGCATGTAAGCATCCTGACAACCACATTTTCTCAAAACTTTCTTCGTCTTCCTCTCCAACTTGCACCTGCCCTCTGAGTATGGTTCCGTATCGTACAGGTCGTAATAATCGAGCGGGTACATGCCGCAAGTGCCGTAGGGGGGCATCATTATGATCGACTGTTGTTGAATGGAACGACAGGTAGACAGTTGAGATTGGAATTGTGGTAATAATTATAATATATTCATAAATAATATTTATTGCTATATAAGTGTTTGTATTTTTCAGAAGAGCAGCATGTAAACATATGTGAAGTGTGTAAATATGGTTACAAATTTTTTATAAAAAGCGTTTGAGATTTTTTAACGAGTAAAAATTTTTAACCAAAAATGAAATTTGCCAACATTTTAATAAATATTTATATAAGATAAGTACACTTCAAAAGTTTAATTAAAAAGTATTATTTGACAAAAAATTCTTTTTAAAACTCTTACCGTTGTATTAATTTCAATCAAACATCAACAAATACGAGCCCCCTGATGGGCACTCGCACCACCTACCTTCCTCAAACTGACCACACCGAAGTTGTGGACACCTGGCATAGCGGCCACACTGAGGTCCTTCATTGAGGAAATGTCGCTGTGATTGTGCAGTTGGATCTATTGGAATGAGAAATTAATTTGAATTTATAAAGCAATAAAAAATATAAACGGAATTTTTTGGTTAATTCACACATTTTAAAACAAATTGTGAATTTAACCGTTGGTGGAATGGTAGAAATGTTAAAAATGTTACCTTAACTCCTGCCCCTGTTGTAAAACCTTCGACATGTTCGTATTCCTCGATGTTCAACACAAAACTCGCTCCGAACTCCGATCCTTCAAAAATAATTCAAAATATTTTATGAAATTTGTATTTTACTGGTGGCACAAGAATGTATGTGATTTAATATTTTTCCGACCATTCAATCAGTCGGTCAGTCAGTCAGTCAGTCAGTCAGTCAGTCAGTCAGTCAGTCAGTCAGTCAGTCAGTCAGTCAGTCAGTCAGTCAGTCAGTCAGTCAGTCAGTCAGTCAGTCAGTCAGTCAGTCAGTCAGTCAGTCAGTCAGTCAGTCAGTCAGTCAGTCAGTCAGTCAGTCAGTCAGTCAGTCAGTCAGTCAATCAATCAATCAATCAATCAATCAATCAATTAATCAATCAATCAATCAATCAATCAACCAATCATTCATTCATTCATTCATTCGTTCGTTCATTCAATCAATCAATCAGCTAATCAACCAGCAAACCTGTAGTAGAAACCTTTTTGGAACCATCAAAATTGAATGTGTAACATCTTCCCATATCCGTTTGAACGCTCAGTATGTCACTATCAGCGCATGTTTTGTTGTCGAACGAGCAGCTGTTAGTACATTTTTTGTTTGAGATAACAACTTATGTCATTTTTAGATTCCCAAATTAAATTTTGTAGGTTTTTTTGTAGGGTAAAATGTAATCGTAAGTTTGATTATTTGCGATGAATTATTAATAATAACGTATTAATTCATTTTTCATTCACATAAATTAAAAATGAATGTTTAATTACTAAAGTTTTGAAAACTAACGTATGAATGAGATCAGCTTGCTGGTGTGATAGCTGTTCGTTTAGGGTTAATATGTTCAAATCTGCGAGTGTTAAGTTTTTAATAGTTCTAAGATGAGTGTCATTTTTAATCATCATCGTTATCATTGTTTTAAATAAAAAATAATTCAAAAAATCATCATCTTTATCATCTTCATTATCTGTTTGTCATTGTCGTTTCTCTTATTATCATCAAAAGTGTTTGACATTATCATTTTCGGTATCCGTTATTACTAATTAATAGTAGTAGCAGTAGTAGCAGCATCAGCAGCCAGCAACAGTAGTAGTAATAAAAATGATTGCAACAGCAGTAAAAGTAACGGTTACAGTTGTAGCAGAACTACCAGTATTATATTTTTAAATAATAACAATATTATTATTATAATTATTATAATTAAACAATAAATAATATGACCATTCAAATCGTTGAAGATGAGTTCTTTATACTCAGTCCTGGCCAGCTTGGGACCGGTGTAGTTTCGAACCACCAACCCACTATCGGCTGCCAGCAGGCTGGCGGGCACTGTTTGAATTTATCACAAATTTTTTATAATATAGAGTTATGAATTTTATTATTTTTATTATATATATATATATAAATTATTATAATTTGTAATATTTATTCATAAATTAATTTAATTTGCACATCGTAATAATGTTCACCGGAATACAATAAATTAAAACGCTGATGAAAAATATGATGAAAGCTGTAAAAAATTAATTTTTTTTCATTTTTACAAATTTGTTTAATAATAAAAAAAATGTATTTTTCATTTAAAAGATGGTTTTAAAATTTTTAACTTAAAAAGGCTTAAATAAATTTCTACAACAATTTTGAGCCGAAATAAGCTGGAAACCAGAAACGATCTACTTGTGTTATTATTGGACTGGTGTGTGATTGACTCTTTCAAAGAAATAGAAAAATTCAAAAAAGACAAATTAAAAAATTTACCGTTTTCGCAAGTTCCCGCTCTGTTGCTAATCTCGCTAATCATAACTTTCAAATTGGACTGGCTGTCCAGTTTTTTGGCAACGAACTTGATCCTCTGGACACCAGGGTCTACGGTTATGTTGGCCTCATTTGTGACTGATGTGTACACGATCACATTGTCCACCCTGCTGAAACGTTGGGCCGCCGAAACGCTTGAAGAATCGGACAATGCCGGAATCTGGAAAAAAATAAATTTATTAGCCAACTATCGCATAAAGATACTGAATCATGCAAATAAAAATAATTAAAAAAATAAATTTTTTTAGATAGGATGAAATAAAGTGGAAAAATATATGCATTCAGTGATAGCAATTAAAATGGCACGACTTGAACCAGCCACACTTCACTTACGTTCGATTTAATTTCAACGTTATTTTCATCAAGAGTGTAAACTTCAAACTGTATGAAGGGACTCTCAACGATGTATTTGAAGGTCAAACAAAAACTTCTCGTGATTTTCATTGGCTGAGAGAGAAGGGTGGCAGCCGACATGAGGTTGGCTGCAAACTCCACTTGGTAGAGATTATCTGATGATAAAATATTGTGTACATTGTGTCTATGAATGTTAGAATTAACGATGATATTAGCTTCAATAATTGTTCATTAGTTGTTTTAATACTTTATAATAGTATTATCTACTCAGTTTCATATTCTCCCTTAAATCAACAACTTAAACTAAAACGAACATTAACTGACCAACACAAAACGGAACATCGCAGTATTCCCTCCTCTGCTTCACATCCACCGTGTAGCACCAACTGTTTCTAGGGATGAATGGATTTGACGGGTTTCGACATTTATTTCCGGTATTGTCAAGATTCCCTCCAACAAAATAATCGCCTGAATCCTGGTTATGTTTTTGAGGGATCTGTTGTTTCCAGGCCTGACATTTCCGTCCTGATATTGTTTGCGAGGTTTCGCCTTTGTACGTTGAACTGTCACTGTTCACCTTACAGTCATCTGCAAATGTTAACAAGTAGCAAATGTGATGTTGATAATTTCAGTCCAACAGATTTTAACAAAAAAAAGAGTTGCATATCACAGCGAAAGCAACAAAATATTTAACATAATTGTCATTATCATCGTGATATTCTATCACTCACTCATTCTGTCTTCTTTGGCTCGATGCGACGCGCGGACCCATCTGGAGATGCCGCCAGACGCATCGAAGAAGTTGCACGATTTGGAATCCACTGCACATATGGGTGGCGAGGTCTGGTCCATCTCTGAAAGAGTTCGTCATGTCGTCCGCAAAAAATTATTATTTCTACTTGTAAACACGAGTTTTAGTCAAAATAAATATGAATATCAGTGACTGGCTCATATATTGTATAAAAAACGTTGTACATGATGCCATAGCGTGAGTTCACTTCGTGGCATAGTTGAGTTAAGGGGTTAACAATTTCGTTTGAACATGTTTTTACAGGCGCGTATACATTATTTTTAAATTAATTTTAATGTCGCTTGTTAAATGAATAATATTAATTAGTTATCTGTTGGAATTTTAAATTTTCAAAAGAAAGCCACAAAATGTTCACCACAGGAAGCATAACAATTGCATAACAATAACCCGTAAGACGGGGACAATTGCCGTCAACCATCTGAAAATTGTTGAACCCTGACACGATGTCGTACCCAGAGTATGATTTCTTAGCGGGTTGGTCCAGGTTCAAACTGAACAGGAAATGGAACTGGACGATGAGGTTGTTGTCGGTTGGACTGCCCAACGGAGGGTCAAAGTTCACCTGGTCATTTTTTATTTTTTATAACATTTTATTATCATTCAAAAACTAATTTCGTGGTAATTAACAACTTGATCGTTGTTAATAAACCAACAGTCAAATTTCTAAAAGTATCATTATCTTCATTAACATCATTGACGTAAACGCTATTTTTTTTATTGTGGACCGCTTCCCTTTCAAAAGTTAACTTTTTGTTACAACCCTAGGTCCAACTTTGTCCAAAGTAGAAGACAACAAACTGATTACTTGAAAGGTGGCATTGGTCCAGTAGAGTTGGTCCTCTTTGTACTTCGAAGCCTGGAAGACATTCATCTGTTTGACGTTGGCATTCTTGAACTTGTAGAGAGCCAAAACTTCAACACTTGCAGACATGAGAGCAACATCGAAAGAGATGCAGACTGAATTATTCGTGAGAGTTTTGATCGGCGAGATCCAAGAAGCGACGTTCTTCACAAGTGTCAGTGGCTGTTGAGTCGTCGTTGTTGTTGGTTGCTGGTTGAAGATCGTCGTCGGGGAAGTTGTGGATGAGGACGTTGTCGTTGTAGTTGTTGATTGTTGTTGTTGTGACTGGTAGTACAAGCCGGCTAAATAATCTGGAATTTATTTTTGGCTTTCTCGATTCAAATTTTCAATGATTTTGTAAAATTATTAATAAATATGTAAAAATACTAATGTAAAAATACTATTTATTGCGTGAAAAGAGCAAAATTGACATTTAAATTATTGCTGGGGTTTATAAAACAACGTGTTCAACTACCTTTCGTCGACGGCACAGTGTAATTGTACTTCATGACAAATCTCGGGTAGCCAGCTTCAGTTGCTATGTGGATCTGCAAGACATCCACCACAGATAGGTTGGAGATAATGACGCTGTTGCAATATTTCGTGGGAGACGATGGAGCTGCGTCAGAGGCATCTTTCCTCCAAACCTTTGTGTCGTGAGTATATTCATAACATGTTTAAACTTTTTTCTGCTGTTGCTTTCGTGATTTCAGTTGTTTTGTATGAAAAAAAATTTGTTTCTGTTTTTAAATATATAATTTATTGCTACATAAATTTCTGCGTGTTGAATAAATATCATGTCTGTCAGAGCTTTAAAAAAAAGACGCTAACAGCCTAATAGTAAAATTTTGTTTAAAACAATTTAATCATAAACAACATGAAATAAACAGAATATATGAAAAAATAAATACAAAACAAATGAACATAAACAACAAACTACTCACTTCCAAATACTGCGTAGCACAGTTGAGACTCTCAAAAGATTCGAACCATAGATTAACTTTTATTTGACCTCTGCCCCGGATGTACATGTCACATCCGGTCAGGTTGCTCCGCTGATTCTTTCTATCCTCTTTGAAGTCAAACTGGCCTTCAGAGCGATCGAACACGTATACGCAATCTGTTTGGTTGTTCCAGTAATAATCATCATAAATGTCTCATTAGTATTCTCACCATCCATTCACCACCATAAACATCATAAATACTGACGCCATCAAATCGGTTGGATCGGCATCACCATCATTTTCCAATCATCGTCATCAACATGATCTGCTTGGTGATCATTTACGTTCTCTTCAGTATCATCATCCTCAACATCCAACAATCATCATCATTGTCACGATTTTCATCCATCCATCCTCCATCCACCAGTACAACCTTCTCTGTCTGGGTTGAAACCATTCTGCACGTAGCTGGTGCCCAGCCATTGCGTGGTGGATGACCAGCTGAACAATGTTGACGAACAGCCTGGACCTGTTTCCTTCAATGGACAAACTGTGTGGTGGTCGTTGTTTGCAAGTGTCAGGAAATTAATTAGGAATCATCATAAAAAATAATAAATTATGATAATACGATGAATAAATAATCATAACGTTGATTGTAAACAATACAAATAGTGAAAGGAGAGGCAAAAGTTTTCTCTAATAACTGCAAATGAAAGTCTTATTTAATGACTTTTTCACTGAAGTAAAAGTGAAATTAAATCGATTAGTGGTAGTAACTAAAAAAATTAATTTCTGATAAGCATTTCAAAATCATTATTACAATCTGCCTGAAAGTTTTATAATATTGGCTGCTGATTCCAAAGCGATTACAGGTAAAAGTTAAAAATTCACTCAAACTGCAAAACATCGGAACGACAAACCAATATTCGGATCACTGAATGAAGTGTTGCACGCAGTTTTACTGGAAACAACGTTATCCAGCATTACAAAATCCTTTGTGTTTGTAACATCAGCTACGAAAAATATGTACATGGACTTCCCAGGTAGACATATGGTTTTGTTGATCCAGATTAGACTCGGACCTAATTGTACCTCCATCAGTTTCCCGGTCACCTGCGTGGTGATATTTTGGATATTTTTTAACAGGTTTATTATGTGAATTAGTTATAAATCAACGTGAGAAGGACACAAAAATGAATATGTACTCCAAAAATAGTATGTACTCCAAGTATTAAACCAAGAAAGTCAGAGAATAAGAAGTAAAGTATGTTTATTGTTAATGTATGATCACATATAACAAGCAAATATTTGACAGTTTTTTAATCGGTGTCAAGTGATAACTAAAGGTAACTCTATTATTTCAAAAAGACCTGCTACGTTTATTCATTTTAATGGTTTTTAGAATATTTTGAAAACAATTCAATCACCATTTTTATAACTTTTAACATTTATATTACAATTTTTTATTCTATGTTACATTCGTTATCTGATTTCAAACTATCGTCAATATTGATGACATGACAACTTACCAGTCCAAGTTCAGTGCCGTAGTATATACTGAAGACAGTTGTTTTTGGGTTAGAGGTCATGACCTCAAAGGTCAAGGAGAAAGTGTTGTTGAGGGTCATGAGAGGTGATGATATGATGCCCTTCATTATGTTGTTTGAGGATGACTTGTTGAACAACATTACGGAGCCTGTATGTACATGTTTGATAGTGATGGTATATTAAAAATAGTTAGTTAGTTCCCTTAGCTTAGTCAGTGATTAGTTTAAATTTCCCAATTTTCGGTCATACTCTTGTCGTTTCAGAAAAACTATCAAAAACTACAACAACCAAAAAAATCTAACCATGATCAACTCCATCCAGAACTTTAGGTTTTTTGCTGTTCAAATCGGTAGCAGCAATGCTACTGCCACTGCTGCTACTACCACTGCTGCTACTACCACTGCTGCTACTACCACTGCCGCTACTACCAGCATTCGTAGCGTTGCCAAGATCGATGATGTTTCTGTATGGGACCCAGCTCCATGGAGCTCCGTAAGGGAAGTTGGTAATGAAGTTGCAGACGAAGACGGTGTCGAAGTTGCAGTTGATGCTCTCCTCCGTCCGAGTTGCTAGAGAAATCAAAGTTGTTTGATAAATAATGATGTTGATTGCATGGAGAAGTGATGTTGATCGATGAAGTAAATTTTTTAAAAACGCAAGCGGAAAAATAACATCAGCAGAAAATGACAATGAAAATTATAAATAATGATAATGTAGAGTTAATAACAAAAAATATTCTGTTGATAATTTTGGTGAAGGTGATAAACATGATAAAAAAAACAATATAAAAATAATGACAACAAGGAGGAAGAGGATGATGATGAAGACGATGATGATGACGGAGACAATGAAGATGACGAAAATGAAGATGATGATGGAAACCTGTTGGACAAGCTTGGTTCAGCAAATTGATGTCCCGAATTTTGACTTTGCTTGCGGCCGTACGAATATATTCAGTAGATGACGGCGGGGATACCTGAAATGGAGATAGGATAAATTTTTTCAATTTTTTCCAATTTAATCCCCATCATGATGAATGCGATGATAAAATTGAAAAGTTAAATTAAATTAACAATATGCTATCATCTTCACGTTCATTATCACACGATCGTCATCATATCAAACGCATAACCATAATCTAAACATCACACTAATTTATATTCATTTGAAAATTAAACAAGAAATGACCACCATCACATTCCCACTACATTCACCTTAATATAAATTTCCTGTTGTCCAGCTTTCACGTTGTAGTTAATGATGGCAGCATCGCCTGAAGATAACTGTTGTCTGGTGACCTCGCCGCTTGTGCTGCTACTGGACACTTCAATTTCGAAGTTAGGGTCAGTTGCCAGGTAGCGAATTTGAAGGCACTTATTCGAGTCTATGATTAAGTTCGTCGATTTCAGGACTGCTGAACTCTGCTCGGTCACATCGAAGTAGGCGCTCATGTAGTGCACTGGAAGTACAAATTTAAAATTAAAGAATGAAATTTTGTTTATTGTTTGGTTGAGCTGATGAAAATACAGTAGGACCTTTTTATAACGAATTTCTATACAACGAAACTTGGAAACATCAAGTTGGTTTTACGGAGGTTAGACTGTATCTATCTATAAAAATGATTGGCGTGAAGTTTTTTCAAGTTCTTCATAATGCTTTGTTAACTTTTTGACTGAGTTATCAAAATAAAATTTGCTTACAATAATAGCTTTAAAAAAGTTTGATTTGTTTTTTAATACAAATTCTCATCACGCATGTGGACCACAAAAATTCTGTTGAATATCTTTGGTGACATATTTTGTCAGATCTGATCGCAACACTCACAGAGTAACCTACATACAGGCGAACCTTCTTACGATCTAAATGTTAAACAATAGTTTTGGACTATTTAAAAGTGGCAACATACAAATTCACGTAACACTATAGCGATGTTAAAAGGAGTTATGCATACAAAAATCAGACTTAGTTAGACAAACAGAACTTACAAATCGATTTGTTAGCTAAATTTCTTTTCAATTAAATATTGAATAATTTATAAAATCAACCTGTTATCTCTAAATCATTTACATTTTAGTCAAACAATCCAGTCTACCAGCCCTAAACAGAATATCAAACAAACAAATCCATCAGCCAGTCGATCACACAACTACAATCAATCACAAAGTACGTTGCCAGCAAATGAGCAGACACTCAACCAACCACTGCTATCTTCATCGAAGACACGGTTCCAGTGAACGTCGCCAGCTGACACATCCAAGTAGCCACACTGGTTCAAATCCTCAAAGTCACATTTCAACGTGTTTGATCGCACTGCAAAACGTATTTGCTTCAGTCATAATAACGTTTAGGAGATTGATGACGAGAGACGAGAAAAAAATAAGTCAGAATTTAAAGAAGGCGAAATTTAGTGGGAAAGAAAAAATGAAATAATAAAGTATTGAGAGTGGGCGAACGGAAGTCAGAACTGATTAAATAGAAAATTTACATTTTTTATTGCTAACCTCTTTGCAAGCATTTATCTTGCGTCAAAGAAATATTTCTTATTGTGGCGGCGTCAGGGCTCAACAGCTCGTTGATTGTTACCTCTATGACTATTGAAAAGCTGGAAATTTGATCGGCAGTCGGAGCAGGTTTTAAAGCTGTGGCAGGTGTGGTCGCGTTCAAATCGATGTACAGGCGCGACCAGTCGCGACCCAATGACTTAGGCACTTTGAACAGAGTTTTCTGAACAATGGATAATATAGTATGTATTTAAATTGCGAACAAAAATATTTCTTATATAACTGAACTACTTAAATTAATTGAACATTATAATAAAAATTATTTACCTCTCTATACAGGCCGTTTTTATCGAGATAAATCATCAAAATTCTCATCTGAGCCAACGCAATAAACTCGATGGCCAAACAACTCTTAGTACTCAGGGTCTGCTCTGGAGATATCAACTTGGCTACCTGGTTGTAACTTTGAAGAAGTGATTCGCCAGTGTACTTGAACTGTAGTGCAAATCCTACCTCTGTTTGTTTGTTCGTTTGTTCGTTCGTTCATTTGTTCGTTTGTTAGTTATTTGTGATTTTGTTTGTTAGCAGCTGTTGTTTTTTGCTTTTATAAATTTTTAATAATTTGTTTTGTACGTGCTAGTATGAAATGTTTCAACACCTACGTGTGTTGAAACATTTCTTACCAGCACATTTCATTTTAGGTAGTTAACGTTGGCCGTTTCCGACAATCAAATGATTAATCGACAATATATCTTATTTTATGAATGAAAACAGTGTATGACATTGCTAAAGAATCCGTTTACAGTAGAAATATTTTTTTCAGGATTTCGGAGAAAAATAAATATTTGAATTATAACAAATAAAAAGGTCAAACTTTTTTCAACAGTAGTAACGTATGTTATCTTGAAGTTTCCATTGTTGACGTTGGAGTCGGTGCTGAATAGAAATGAGACTTTGTTGCCCTTGGAAATGACGGGTGGGGGAAGAGTGCTGCCGCAATAGAGCTTCGTGTTGTCAGAGAGTGGGTCGATGAACTGTTGTAGGTTTGTGATTTTCGGAGCATTTGATTTGGGGTAAGTACGTAAATAAAAATAAATTTTAAATAAAAAAAAAACAATGTGATGATGGTTTTGTAAATCCCAAACCAAATACAGGAAAAATCTGAGGTGATGCAAAAATCATCATCCACTATTTTTATATAAAAAGTCGCTAGTTTTTTTTCTCATATTATTAGCCCTTTGGAGTATTTCAAAATTAGTCCACAGATCACTGCAATCAAGTGGAAAAAAAATTAGATGAGTAACAGACCTCCAATCTGTCGAAAGAACAATCGCTCTCCGCCTCGATGGAGAACTCCTGGAACGTGATGGTGATGGTAGCGCCGTCTGGAGCTTCGATGCTGAACTTGCAGTCCAGTTTGTTGGGGTAGTTGTTGGGGTAGTTTGGGGACGTTATCACCCCTTCCACGCCGTTGAACGTGTTGCCGCAAGCTAGTTAAGCATTAGTTTCATATAATGCTTGATTTTTTATTGAAAGTATCAAATTTTTACTAATTTTAATATTACTAAATTTTAAATTAATAACAGAATATTGTAACACTAATAAATAATCAGTAGCAGAATGTCAGCCTGCTATTGAGATGATTGAAGCATACCTGGTCCGCTGCTCATTGTTGAAAGGGTCTTCGAGTAAGCGAACGTGTAATTGAAGTAGGCTGACGTTGACGTGAACTTGTAGCCGCACAGAGAGGAGAAGGCACAGTCTAGATCTCCAGGCTCTGGTTTCAATTTTATACTTCAAAATCGTTTGCAAAACCAAATGCAAGGAGTTGTGAAAAAAAACAAATCAAAACTAAAAAATAGACAGTGCTTAAAATTTGTCAGCTTGATTAAATTATTAAATTGATAACAACGTTCAATAAAACAATTTTGTTGGAAAATTTGAAAAATTCAAACAAATCAGTAAAACACGTTGAAAACTAATTTACATTGCAAAAAAAGCACAACTGACCTTCTGTGGTTTCTTTATAGTTCAATTGACATTCACCAACAGATATCACATTGACGGAAGCCAGGGCAATAATTTGTTCGTAAGGACGACCCTGGACACCCTCAAAAATCAAATGGTACGTTCCAGTAGGGACACAAAATTCCTTTTTATTAAATTCTTCGCTACTGAAATCTGTGTTCTTGAAAATCAATCTCAGTGGAGTAAACAGCTGAGAACCTGAAATTATGATGTTGTTTGTCGTTCGTTAATTTCTATTCAATCATTAATAAACTAACTAGGTAATGATGATGTTAGCAATTCAAACTTGTAATGACAAAACCAGTTAAGGTTGAAACAAGTTTATCAACATCATCCAGTTAACCAAGATGACAAATTTTACAAGAGATATTAAAAATTTAAAAAAAGTTGATAATATTATAGATCGTATTACAATTTTCAACACTTTTTATTACTTTGATACTAGTAAGTCTGTTTTTATGATTGAATTTAATAAATTATTCTGTAACTCAGTTTTTGATTAAGCCTTCCAGCAATAGCTTATATTCAAATTTTTTTTGTTTAACGCAACTGGCAAACCATTCAATCGCAAACAGTTTTTAGATCTATGTCCTCTTAACTTTCTAAAAACTGCCCGGTCTTTATTTTTTTCATCGGCTCAAACACCAACTCACGTTTGCAAATTAGTTTCCACGTCCAATTTATGGTTTGAATATTAAATTTCTGATTTTCAGAAATTATTATTTAAGATCTACAATTGTATAAAAAAAAAACTATTTAACATAACATTTATTGCTTTTTAGCGTTATCAGAGCTGAATTTGGACAGTGTACAGCTGCAATACTTTACAATAAAAATTTTTAAAATGTAACAATTTAATTTCACGGGTTAACAACTTTTATTTTTTCTCAAATATTTTCTCCAGCATTTTATTGGCAATACTTGTACCCACATACAAGGTAATATTGTTTTGAAATAATAAAACCAATTCTTCCAAATTTGTTCGCTTCAATATGTTGAACCTCAATAGACCAGATATTTAGATTTTCACTTTAATATAAATTTTTAATATGATCAACCACTAATTAAAACTGGGGGTATCCGTTTTTCTTTTTGTTCCTCACAATGTCTCTAGACCTCCAAATCCGAACACTGAGTTCTATGAAACTCGTTCATTTTTTAATTGTTATAGACCACTAATTAGACGTTTTCTGTTTTATAATCCATAGAAAAGACTTCTACCTTTATAAACGTATAAACCGGAAAATCCATTATCCTTGTCATTCCCTGACGACGACATGATGTACTGGATTGAGATGAGCGTGTTGCCGGTGAAAGTCCACAGGGGGGAAATCAATCGAACCTTATCGCCTGTCATGCCGTAGATCGACTCCACGAGCATTACTGAGGCTAGAAGTGAAATTGAAGTAATTGTAAAATAAATAATTTTCCACCAAAATGATGATATCAAATTCAACTTTCTAATTAATTCTAGTTGCTAATTTTCATGAAAGTATCTTTGCTAAGACGCTATATTCCTTCTACATACCGAGGGCGGTGATGTTTGAATAAATGGAGGCCTTGGTGTAGCGAACGAGATTGCCTGACGCTGTGAAAGTCCACTGCAAACTACCAAGCCGGTCGCGCGTGTAGCCACATATGTAGCTGTCGTCGAATGAGCAGACAACATTCGTGAGGTTGGCTGTGTTCATTTGAAGTAAAAAAAAAAGTGTTACCAATATGCCAATTTAAGAAATATTTTTAAGTTCAATAAAAAAATAAGACGCATTTAAAAAGGAATGTTGAAGCCACATGTATTTCTCAATAAAAAAATTCTGTTCAAATTTTTTCAATTTTTTTAATTTTTATTTTTTAACAACACTGTTTTATTACTTTTTATCATATCTTCCAAAACCCGAACTGAAAAAATTATCAATTTAAATCATAAATGAACAAATAATTTTAGACAATTACATTCTTTTAGCAATCGACTTACGACATATTTCATCGGTGCCATCGTTGCAATCCTTAATCCCATTGCATCTCAAGTTGTCTGGAAGGCATAAGCCACCATCACATTTAAAAAACGACGTGGAACTGGAACATTCTATAGCAGAAATATATATCAAAATTCGAGTTAATGTGATAAAGTTTTTTTTAATTTTAAGATTAGATTTTTCATGTTTGCGGTCATAAACGTTGAATACTCCTACAAAACAGACCGCAGTAGCTGATGTTGCAGACAGCTATCTTGTAAGAGGTCTCCGTCTTCACAAAACACGACGGCTCCGTCCAGTTTTCCTGAGGTATGAATCTAGGGGGAGATAAAAGGTTGAAACTTTACACAAGCCTGTGATCGTTAGTCTGTACATTATAAAAAAAAATATAGATTAAAAATCAACCTGCAGTAATTTTCGGCGTTTTTAAGAGTTTTATCTGGCAGTTTGTAGATCAGATTACTTTTGACTGCTTCCCATCTGGCACAGGGTTCTCCGGCTGCTGACATGTTTGCTTTTCCGACATAAGCTGAACCTCTCCTTGTTATCTTGCACGATTGCACAGCATCTATGTTTAGTGAAGCTCTTAGTTTAGTTTCAAACTAAATAAAATTTTGTTGAAAATTTAATATAAATAACCAAGCTTTCGTTATAAGAGTTTTCACCTTTTTGTGAGCAATTTGTGATGCTAACATCATCTAAGGCTATCCCGTTTTTACCAAACTGAGCCCTTTTACCTGTTCAAACCAAACAATCAAGCGTTCGTATTTCAGTGAGCAAAAATGTTAACAATAAGTTAATACAAAACATTGTTCATGTCAGAAAAAATCTTATTTCATGTAATCTTTTCCTAAAAATTCACCCGACAGACCTTCGATGACAATTTGGTTGATGCCAGCAGGTAGATCAACGTAGAATCGAGTCCAGTCCTGCATGTACTTGCTCGTCGACGTCAGGTCCTTCTTCACTTTTTCCTCGCTCACTGAACTAACGGTTAAAGTTGGAATCTGTGCATTTGTTGGAATAATAAAAAACTCAAAATCGCTGAAAACGTTAAAATTTTATTTACCTAACCAATCAGACTAATGAAATGTTCTAAAAAAAATTTAACGACATAGTAATAGAAATATGAATACTAAAAATTTACTCCACCAAATCTGGAGAGGTCCTGTCGGTTTGGAACCAGTAGAAGAACTCGAGGCACATGTCCGTGGTGTTGATGTAGGGAGAGGTTAACCTGGCAAAGTAGTTTGGTTTCAACTCCGTCGTCAGCAGGCTGACTACGTGGCCTGAACCTAAACATCATGAAAATGATGATCAAATGATCGTGTAGATAAAAAAAATATAAACAATTGTGTGAAAACTTTGATTATAATGATGATAAATAACTGGATGAGTGATAACAGCAATAAAGAAGTTGGCTGGTGAGTTGGTTGTTATGAAAATTAGTAATAATGATAATGATAAGAGTCACAATAATTGAAGAGGTAGATAAGTAAAAATGGCAACCTAGATTCAACGTGTTGTCTTTCATAACAAATGAATCGTAGGCCTCTTGGAGAACCCAATCATCAGTCGCTCCGACCTCATTCACAAAGATGCACTGTTTCTCTTCAAACGTGCAATGGTTTATTTGGGAGGCTGCGATAAAGATGGTGATATTGTCAAGTTTGTGACTCAAACTTGACAATAAAAACTTCTATAATGATAAAAATTTTATTTAATTTCATTGTTAGTGTAATAAATTTTAATTCATTCTTAATACTGATGAAATTGTTAGTAATGATAAAAAATTCATAGAAATTAATTAATTTCATTAAAAATATTCATTTTTATTTAATGCGACAGAATAAATAATAAAAAGACACAAACTGGTTTTTCTTTTGCGACGATAGAATTCATAGCTGGTCATGTTGGGAGGTGGGCAGGTCTCTTTCAGCCAATCGCCAGTGTACGAGGACAACTGACAACTTTTCCCAGCCCTGTCAAACAAGAAGCCGCTACACTGTGTATCATACGTGTTGGAACAAAGGTTCATGCACACGCGTCTGGTTACTTGGCTGAAGTTATAAGTGAAGTGCTCGGAGTTTTCTGGTTTCTCGATGCGACAGATGCCAGGATAGTAGAGGTATTCGTTGCAGTCTGTATGCGAGTGTGTTTTTGTCTGTGTTTGTGTCTGTGTGTGTGTCTGCGTGATTGTCTGTGTGTGTGTGTGCGCGCGTGTGTGTGTTTGTTGGTGTGAATTTATTTGTTTCTGTATCTTTGAGTTTGGCTGGACGCTTTAAAGTATGTTTGGCTAGTTAAATGTGCCTTTGTTAATCAACTTATAGATATGTTTTTATTCGTTTGAATTTGTTACCGATGTTCATAAGCAAAAAGTTTCAAATGCAGCTGTACGATCTTTTAATCATAACATAGTTTGAGTAAAATTTTTTGTGATTGTCTTCAGTTTTTCAT